GGCACACAGCGCGGACTGCAAAGAACGCAACCGGTAACGAGAACAGAACAGCAGGTTAACAGACGCCAACGGGGACCAGCTACGCAGGATTTTTCCTTCCGGATCCAATTAATTATTTAATTAATTAATTAATTAATTAAATTCTTCACAGTGACAGAATTCAGCTGCCTTGGCGGAGGTCTGCGCTCTCCGACTGCTCTAGTTTATATTGTTATCTATCGTGATTCCAATGCTTAAAAGAATTACAAGCTCCTATGGAAACTAATTAATGCACTCACTGCAGTATTGTCGCAATCCTTACAATGGGCGGACCCAGCAGATATCTATATACTTCACATGTTACAAATCACGGAGTGTGGGAACGGATATATACCCAGGGCCGTAGCGAACTCATTTTGCCTGGGGGCGCCGCCTGGTTTGTGTTCCTGACAGAGGGAAGTTCGCCATTAGCCACATGTAAGAGTATTTACAATGTTCTGGAGGGCAAGCGAGTCTCTTGCCCCGCCGCGAGCTACGGGCTTACTCATACCGCCGTCTGTTTCCCGGCGTGTCATCTTATATTTGTACTTCTGATTTGTTAGGGTTTCAGTCGTTGCGTCGCCGCTCTACTCACTATGTGAGATTACCGGAGCCCCACTATCCAGTACACTATGCTGCCCAGCCCCGACACCAGCTGACGTTTGACGACGATATAACTACATCCAGGAACAGCCAGGCAGCTCTCATAGCCGCCCTGCGAGCAGAGAAGACAGCCATCGGGATGCTGTTGGCCAGCGATCCCCTCGCAGGTAAAGCTGCCAGAATAGAAGAGAGAGTGCGTGTGCGAGAGACGATGGCAGAGAATGAGGGAGAGCGCGCGTAGGAGAAAGAGAGACAGAGAGAGGTGGCTAGAGTGGGAGAGAGTGATAAAGAATGAGAAGAGAAAGAGAGAGGATATATTTATCAAAAGTAGATAATAGGGAATATAATCCCTATTATCTACTTCTGATATATATATATATATATATATATATATATATATATATATATACACATCATATATATATATCAGGAGTAAATAATCCTAAAGAGGGGAGTAAGAGAACGATGATGTAAACGTCTTGTAATCTTTTAGTCAATTTCCATCATAATCGAACACTATAATAATGACATCGTACGCATGTATAATCATGCATCGTGCACTGCAATCAGACTATATACCGCGCCTTATACGCTCCAGATGGAAACACTCAGACCACAACAATGACCTGCGAGAGCGATCCGGCGATCACCATCACGTGTCCGATGACGCGGATAACTGCGATCACGGTGACGTACGGTTACAACGTTGCGAACGACAGCACAACGTGCACTAATGACCCCTCGGATCTCTTCAATTGTACGGCCAATGACGTTACGTCTACCTTTAGTGCTGGTTGTGTAGGGTCGACTAGCTGCGTTTTAGACATTTCCAACAACACCATTGGGACTTATCCATGTCCAATTGGTAACTCAATCGGGCGTATAACCTATACGTGTTCTATACTAACAGACAGCCAGATAGTATTCTTTGAGGCCCAGTACGCGCTCATCTGCTCGCAACTGGACGCAATCGAGACAACATCGGCGAACGTAGCCACCGTTTTGATGCTATATTCAGTGACTTGACATCATGGAGCAAGTATTTATTATTCAAACCCAAATACAGCCGTTACAACTGATACAGGAAACGTTAATTGCATTGTGTATATCGATTGCGCGGCATGGGCATCAATACACCGAGTCTACCGAAATTGTGTGTCATTTACACAAAATGTAACGAATTTTATCGCTAAATTTTTAGCGAAAATGAATTCAAACGTGTTGATATTATGTGACGTCACGATTATCTCAATGTTACGACTGGCGATGCTGTCATATATAAACGATGAAATCAATTTGGCTTCATTTTCGCTGTAATGTATGTTACTGACATGTAAAATGTTGTCAAAATATATTGCCTTTAATAAATAAATTATTGCTTTTATCTGTGTTTTCCCGTTAATTTCTGCCTCTGCTCTAGTCACACATTTCTGTTACCAATGCATAATGCGCGTCAACGCCCATGCCACACCGGAGTCTTAGTACATGAATGACCAACAGGCTGGATGTAGCTGTTACTAGATCTATGTGGTCAGATAGCATAACAGACATTGAATTCCTGGAAAGCTGAACATGGTAGGGGAGCAGGGGCGGATCTAGGGGGGAGGGTCCGGAGGGTCCAGACCCCCCTTTAATCTCAAAGTGCCCTAAAAAAAATAAAAGATAATTTTCTGCTAAAAATTTGGAATTCCATCTTGCATTCTAGATATCAAAATTACTGCTCAGATATATACTCTCAGAATGCACCAATTTAAAAAAAATTCTTGGGGGAGGTCCCCCAAACCCTACTAAAACACCAGAAAAATTAAAAAGGGAAAAATGCCTTTATTTCTTCCTGGACACCCACCTTTCAAAAATCCTGGATCCGCTCCTGGGAGGGGGGGGGGTTACAGCATGACATTCACCGCCCCAGTTTACGTCGCGCATTGGCAAGATACTAAATACACTTGCAGAAGACGACCGCTTGCGTTAGACCTGATCTTACATCGCACGCATCGGTGGCCAGTGAGCGGCCTGGGATGATCTGAGAACCTTAGAGACAGGGCCGCGCTGGCGATCGGGAGCACCGGGAGTTTTCCCGGTGGCCTGGCCTGCCCCCCCTCCCAATTTTTTAAAATAAATCTGCGGCCTGCAGGCCATATTATATTTTTATTTTATTTTTAATGTGCGGCCTGCAGGCAATTTCTGTACAGCCTGCAGGCCATATTATTATAGGTGGGGACGAAGTACTAAGCAGTTGTTGGCTCATTAGTTTGTGATTCAGATGCAATAAACTTCACCAGAATGCATGGAATGAAGTCTTTGTAACAAAAAATTTCCTGGTGGAGGTGTCCCGGGACCCCCAGACCCCCCGCATAAAAAGTGGCCTGACCGGGGCTATATTTCGCGCTATATTTCCCGGCCTGAATGATTTTCCCAGTCCGGCCCTATTTAGAGCCTACGCAAACCTCCAAAAAATACGTATGCTAAACCTAGTAATGTGTAGCTGTGTTATTTTCCAACTATATTCATTGGTAAAAAACGCAATTTTGTAAAGAAAAACGATCTTTCATGCGTTGGTTTCTACAACCCTAGCGGTAAAGATAACTAGGTATAAGTCTACAGCATATAGGCACTGTAGCAGCCTCTTTGACTGTAGTCGGTAGTGTACTCATAGAAATATGTAGAGACAGTACACTACGTGTTGTACAACACCGTGTGTTGGATTTAATTAAGCGTGATTAGTATAAATAATGCGAATATATGACCGGAACTAAGATAAGATAAGATAAACTTTATTTTCATCGGTATGTGGCAAAATACATAACATGAGCTATACAGCTCTTTGACCGATATCAAACAATGGTAGAATGACAGTAGACAACGTTGACTACAGAAAGAATTTTCTTCAGCCGTTCTTATACATTCAAAGTGGAGCCGGGCAGGCCGATAGCACCTGTGCTTGGTAAAATCCGATCTATAATATTCACTTTGCTTGCAGCATCACGCCATGGGTTCCCCGCTATGCCTATATTTATGTATAGGTAGATGGCGCTCGTGCGTCAGTCACCGTTGACTGCCAGGGAAATTTTCTTCGGCCGTTTATATACGTTCAACGTGGAGCCGGGCAGACCGACAGCACGTGTGCTTGGTAAAATCCTATTATCCGATTAATCCTAATTATCCGCCGCCGCTAACTCTCCCGTCCCTGTTTCATACATTCTCCTGACACCGGTTGCGTTCTCGCATTGCCATAACTTTCCCTGGCGTGTGGGGTTTCGCCCGCTTACATTCCTCCCCTCCTACCGAGACGATGCACCCATCGTCACGTTACAGCCCCCTTGGCTGCTGTCAATGGAGAAGTAAATTTCGCCCGGAGAGACAATCGATTGGTGACGTAGTCGAACAAGCGCAACTCCACTATAATGAACGAAAACCGACTGGCAGTCTCGAACGAAAGCCGTTGCTACCATCACGTCTAGGTGCTGCTAGAAACCGAACCGATATATAACGCGCTACTTGCAATAAATATCCCGTGCAAGTCAAAGTCAATGGAAAATATCGTGTAGCGCACAGGAAGATTTACAGCGAAAAACAAAAAAAGACTTTATAGGTACGCAGGCTACAAAAGCATTTCGTTTAGTGATCGTATCGTATCGTATCGTAACCAACATCTATTTATTTATTTATTTATTTATCCCCAATTTAGCTTTGGATTAACCGCGCACTATATTTATACTCTACAAAACAAGTAACGATAAAGTTCGATCACCATACGAGTCAGAACTTCAACACATTTAGCAGTAAACATTTTGATATCGCTGCAATTACTCTCACTCTTGCGTCTTTTTATGCTGTAACGTACAATAGCTACAATGCAACATATGCGCGTACCGACACGCATTACCGAATACCGTATTCCCGAATACGTATTACCGAAACGACGTTTAACTACCTCGAGCTTCGTGCTCCGTTATATATCATATTGATCCGTATTAATCCCGTATACCCGTATAATCCGTATTATCCTCATTTAACACCGATGTGGACCTGACAACCTTTGCCACTTCCACACATCATACAGCCAACAAAACGTCGCAAAACTGATTTCATATTTTCGATTAAATGTTTTAGGCCTATATCAAACTCTAATTGAAGAATGTGTTTAGCAGTCTGACAATATAGTGCAAACGTACCGTTACGACAAATTCAAAAAACGATGACAAATTTCTACATAACGTTTCACGCAAAGATTACACGAATAAATACTACAATGAACGAAGAATAATAACACTGTGAAACAATCGTATATCGGCAAAAATGGTTGCGTACCTCGCAGGTGTGAGCTTCGAGACATTATAATATGCACTTTTTGGTATGCAATAGGAATAATGGATCAGGAAGAGTATGGTTTTGGTTTGTTTTGTGCTCTAGGGGTACATTCCTCTCTGTGCTATCTTCCGAGTCATACTTATACCGTGACACCTAACCAGAACGATTACTCTTCTCAGGTGAATCTCGTAGTACTGCTAACGGGCGTAAATCTACCTGTGCCCCTACCTCACTACTCTCGCTCTCTGTCCCACGATTCTGTTCGTGGCCTACCTCAGCGAGTCCGAGGGCGTATATCCCAAGCCCTTGCATTAACCTGTGTGTCTACCTAGCACCTCGACTTATTCTCTTAAGACTATATGCTTTGTCTTGAGAATTCGGACATTCTACGCATTTCAGAAAACTCGTAACTCGAAATCAAGACCCTCTACCACGCTGTCCAGTGAAGGTTTAATAACTTCACGTCTAACACATGCCATCGTTTCTATAGGTAAATCAGCCATGGCTAACGTAATAAAATAATAGGATGTTGAGGGTGGTGGAGGGGATAGTGGCGGTAACAGTTATAGGTGGAGAAAAGTGCTTTACTATTTCGCTAAGTAATACGCTCGTACCTTTGCAAGCTAGTTTAATACGAAATCTATTTATGCCGACACAAGAAGTTGTTTCACTCACCCGCCTCGAACTATCTCCTTGATCGTTTGTTGTCTTTTCAGCTGATATCTCGCTATATTGTCGCTGTCCGGCATCAGCTGCTTCCTGTCGGTCCTTACGTATAGCTGAATCGCGCGTGTTTCTGCGTCGTCCCTGCTTCTTCCGTAGCCAGGTCGTGCAATTGCGAATGTTCTGGCTTATACGCGCTATTTGCAGCTGCAGATCACTGTCCCTATGCATTTCCATACATTTTGCGCGTATGGCGAAACTGCATAACGAATGTCACAATCTTCTTCTCTTCTCTTTCTTCTTCCTCTTCTTCCTCCTTCTTTTTCTTCTTCTTCTTCTTCTTCTTCTTCTTCTTCTTCCTCATCGTTACAGCTGTCTTCACTCAGTGTTTCTCTCGACTCTCGTGCATCGTATAGCTATAGTACCTTTATAGTTCGTTGTTTGGCAAAGGAATACCCAAGTTCGACTGGTCCTGCAACACAATGTAGGCGTTTGATTCAGCCGAGTTGGTTCAGCCGAATTAGTTCGTACTCGTTCAAAGAATGAGCTCGGAAGTCTGTGGGAGGCAGCAGAAGTATAGCAGAATCGGGGCGAGGAACTATGTTCCTTTTGACACCTACGACGAGCTCAATGTTCCGAATATTAAAGACGCCTTCTAATCCAAAAGACGCCTTCTATTCCAAGACGCCTGGACGCCTGGACGCCTTTCCAAGACGCAAAAGACGCCTTCTATTCCAAGAGCGCTACGCAGAACAGATCGAAAAGGACATGGTATGCGACGTATGATATGATATAATATATATATATATATATATATATGATATGATATGATATCATGGTATGAT